ATTTGTTATTACATTGTTGGTTCTGACAGAGTATTCTCTATCATCACCAAATGTGATAATCCAAATTCAGGACATCCCATGCTTGGACAAATAATGGCCTTTTTTTTTTTTTTTTGTCTTCTACAAAATATGAATCATACAGACTTAGAGGTGGGATGTGCTGCGAGATCTGAGTGCTGATGCCAGGGTCAAAAAGTATGAAAGATTAGTTTGCTTTGTATTGTCTCGGGTACTGCACCTTTTGACAGGCAGCAAAGGATGTGAAATAACTTTGGCTTAGAGCCTCACATTTGTGGAGCCACAGTCCTCCCTGAACAGAATGGATTTAGGCTTCTTCTGTATCTGACTTGCCTCTGGCTTGAAATAGGTCATCATCTTTATTGCATTGCAAGGGAGTGCTTATTTGCAAAATTAATGCACAATTATCCACAATCGGCAGATTCAAGTTGATATATTCCAGTATATCTGGAATATTTCCAGTCGTCTGGCTGCCTGTGTCTGTTAGCCTGCGTCAGCTTCCTTGTGTCAGCAGCACTAAAAGGAGAATCAAATCTAATCTCTTGTGATAGAGAATAACCTTAACCTAATGCTACCAGATAGGACAGAAACATTTATTTGATGCTTTTTTTGGAAAAATGATAAGGTTATCCAAGCTGTAAAGCATTCATTACTTTTTCATGGAACTACAACGAAACAGGGTGTCTCACATCCCAGTGCCGTTTCCTGTGGAAGGGGACTGTTCTTGCATGTGGGCAGTACTAGATGCACTGCAGATTTCCTTCAGAATGCGTTAAGATTTCTAGCAACTGTCTCTTAGGCTGGCATCGATTTTTGTGTTTCTGTGAGATACTTGGCAGTTGTGGGTTTACGGTTTCCTATAGGTGTGGAGCTTCATAAATGCAGTGGAGTACCCGTAAGAGTAAGAAAAAATAAGTCTGTTCTTTCTTAATAACCATCAGACTTCTGCAGTTTTCTTTTATTTCTAGAGAATAGTGTGAATAAAGAGTGGATAAAGGGATTACTTTAATCTTTAAAAACTTGGGTTTATTCTGTTGTGTAGGAACAAGCTCTTTGGTCCAGAACTGATTGATAAAAGGATTCCGTATGTCATTTTTTGCTGTCTCTGTTGTTAGGTAGTTCTTTGCTGCTTTCCTGGAATGGATTTGCTTATGGGGAATGGGACACTTGCTATTGTACAATTTTTGTACATTTAGGTTTTATCTGGACAGTTTGAACAAACCTGTATGTGTGTGAATGCTGCTGAATTCCAGAGGTGTCATTCTTAAGAACCGAGTGTTTCAGGTTTTTTTCCACAGCAGAGATGGGGATGTATCTTGGCTCGAGGTTGGTAAGGCTGGGCTGTGCACGTGGTGTAAACTTAGAGCTGAGTTGTCTGAACAAGCAGGTCTGTGAGGAGGAAAGACAGGCTGAAGTTGCTGGCTCTGCTGACTGTTGTGAGTGCAACAGGTGTGGTGTAGTGTTTGTGAGGCAGAAGCTGTACTGTGGTGGGCAGAGACAGACTTCTTGGAGTCAGGTGAGGTCGCTTGTTCTGAGTTCTGGTTAGGAGAAGACTTGAGTTCCTTCACTTGAATTGAAGTAACCGTAGGTCCTGCATGGTAGGATGCAATATACCTGTACATGGGTTGATTCTCACAAGGAGCTGGTTACTTAAGGATTGCTCTGGTTTACAAAAAACCTGTGTCTAAGCTTATTCACTGATGTAGAAAGCCAGAAGGTAAGTTCTCTGTAAGTTAAGTACAGGTTGCCACTTAAAAGGGAATTGTGAAGCTCGGAAATTTGTCATGGCATACGTGTTCTTGTGCGTTCTTGGTTAGGACTAGAATATGCTAGTCAATACTAGATTTGTGAAACTTTTCTCATCTTGTCAGAGGACTTCTGATGAATATGGGACACAAAATAGCTTTTCCATTTCTGTGTGCAACAGTAATTATTTGTTGCTATGGTTGACTTTGATAAATTTCTTTCTGCCTTCAACGTACTTTAAACTGTGTGAGAAGCCTTTCTAAGATTATAGAAATATAAAGTTTGCCTGCAAGATTCACTTGTGGAAAGGCTCTTGGTTTACTGCACAGATGTATAGTAGGTAATTCAGGGAAATGTTTTTGGTTCCTCTGAGAAATTTTGTCTTCCATTAGACTTTAATTTCAGCTTCTTCAGGTGAAGATATTTTTACGTAGCCTGGCAGCTGACAGTAAGCTTAAGGGTTTTTTCTTCAATCATAGAATTACAGATTGGTCTGGGTTGGAAGGAACCTTGAAGAATATCCAGTTCCAACCCCCATCCATGGACAGGGACACCTTCCATTAGACCAGGTTGCTCAAAGCCCCATCCAAACTGACCTTGAACACTGTCAGAGATGGGGCATCCATAACCTTGCTGGGCCACCTAAAATAGTCACGCAGTTTTCACACTTGTCATGATATTATTAAGTTAGGAGGAAGATCCCTGCCCTTACTAGACACTCTTTGATCTCTTGCCAGCACATCCTAAATATCGTGCTTCCATTATGCATATTGCTCAGTGTTGCTCAGTTATATTTGTTATTTAGTATCTTCACTGTAAGAGAAGAAAGAAGCAAGTTTGTGGTTATAGACACAAAATAGAAAATAACATACAAGCAAGGAAGTTACTCATTATCAATCCTTTAAAAAAAAAAAAAAGTATTTGGAAACTGTTCTGGTAGGGCCTCCTCCTGCTGGGCACTGGTGAGGCCTCACCCCATGTGCTGTGTCCAGTTTGGGACACTTCCCAATACAAGAGAGACGTAAGAGGGAATCCAGTGAAGAGCCATGAAGATTATTAAGGGCTGGTGAATGGAAAATGGAGCCAGGCTGTCTTCAGCAGTGCCCAGTGACAGGGCCAGGGGCAGTGGACACAAACAGAAACAGGAGGTTCCTTCTGAACATCAGGAAACATTTTTATTGTGAGGGTGAGTGAACACTGGCACAGGTTGCTCATGTAGGCTGTGGAGCTTCCATCCTTGGAGATACTCAAAAACTGTCTAGACATGGTCCTGGGCAGCCTGCTTGAGGAGGGGTTTGGACCAGATGACCTCCAGAGTTCCCTTCCAACCTCAGTCCTTCTGCAATTCTTTATCATTTGTCAGTGGAGAATCTTCCCTCCTCACCTTCCCCACTGCCAGACATTTAAGTAGAGTGAGTTGTTGATGTGGCACAGCAGGTGTTGAGGAAAACCTTTGCTAGGGAAAATTGCCAGAATGACCAAATAAGAGAAGTTTCATTAAATACTAATAAACCTGTTTCTTAAGATAATCCTGAGGTGATACCTAAGATTACAAGAAATTTTCAGTGTTGACAGCATATTGCCAGTTATATAGGAAGTAAACATCCTAATATATTGACACCTTTGTATTGGACAGTTTAGTTGAAATGATGTTGATTCAAGCTTGTTCTTTTCACCAAGCATGCAACTAGCCCTTGCCATCTTGGGAAAAACTAGCAAAACACAGAAATCTTTCTTTTTGCTGCTGGTTGACAGTTTCAGTTTTAATGTGATAAATTGATTGCAAGTTGAGAAGCAAATTGACTTCCACAGTTGCCTCAAGACAACTTGTGTGCAGAATACCTGAGTAGCATACCCTTTGGTGTCCCCCCACATTCCTCACTCTTTATAGTTTGGTTTGCTTGTTCCTGAGCAAACTATTTTTGCTCAACTGCAGCTTTTGATGAAATCATTGTTCTGGTGTCTGTTCTAAAAATTGGTCTAGAAGTGAATCAATCATTAGTTTCCTTCAGGAAATTGCTGCAGATAACTGATATATAGAATTACAATTAGAATGGGTAAATAAGGTGGTGTGCAAAATGCAAGATAGTATTTTAGAGGGGTTTTATTCATTAACTTCTAAATTTAATTAATAAAGCTTGTTTTGATCCAACTTGGATCAGATCCTATTGTTGGTGTCTGCTTTAGAAAATAAAGTTATTTACCTCTTTTTTTGTTCTTGTTTTTTTAAGAGGTAGGTTGTTGCAGTTTGTACATCCAGACTGATCTTGAGGCTGTATATATTTTAATCTGGGAAGTAGAAAAGAGTTAAACTGAAAAAGGCAACAGGAGTCTTTGAACTACCTTTGGAAGAAGCATTCTTTATATTGCCTTCATTTCTTCCATCCCGGGTCTAAAAACTGATGGAATAATTTTTTCGGATAAGTAGTCTGAATAACAGTGCAGATGAAGAATGATTCTCCTTTCTTCCTCCCTTGTCCTCAGCTATAAATTTCTGCATTTGGTTTGACTCAAGTAGCTTCTTACATCAGAGTAGCATTATTGCTTTAGAGGTTTGGGTTTGTGCTTTGCTGCCTTTTTTAGGTATAAATTTGAACTCATGATGCTGTTCACCTACAGTAGTCTCCAAGTCCTAAAGTTAACTCTTTCAGGTTGTGCAGAATGAGTAACAACATGAGTTGCTTCACGATACAATGCCCCAAGTTGTCTCTGTGCACTAGAGGTAAATGTCTTCTCTAGACCGTGTCCAAGGTCTGAAACTTGCAGGGTAGACTTCAGTATAGAAGTCAAGGTGTAGAAGGTACTCTTCAAGATCAAAACATCCCATTCCCATGTAAATAGAACACTAGGTCTAGGTTTTGTGAGTGTTGTTTACACAGATTATTAAGGTTTGATAAAAGAACTCCTTCACTGAACATTATGGTACTGTAGAAATAGGGTTGCAGAGTCTTGCAAGGAAAATACCTGATATGATCCTGATAAACAAGAGAAATAAACCATTCTTAGAAGTTGTTTCAGGGTCCTGAATTTTAAAACCAAATTTGATTTTTCTTTGTTTATCTCAGAAGCAAGCTATTACTGACACTGGATGAACAGGATAGCCTGTTGCACTCCTTTATTGATAACTAAAATTTTTATTATGGATGTATTAAATATCAAGAAAATTTGGGGGGGTTGTTTTAGGACAGATTCTGCAGGGTCCTTTTGATGACTAAAATCTTAATTTTCTGTTTCAGGTGTGGAATATCAAACAGATGATTAAGTTGACTCAAGAACATATAGAAGCACTGCTAGACAAATTTGGAGGAGAGCATAACCCACCATCAATATATTTAGAGGTAAGTTTATGTGGTTCAGTTAATGGTGTGTTATCTTAATCTTATATGAAGCATCTTATGTTAAGACTGAGAATACCTGGAGTAAAAAAGAATATTCTCCTTGCGTATTACAAACTTAACTCTTGGAGGTAGAAAGGAGCTGTATGGGTTTCCTGATACACATCAGTAGGGGAATATCAGTGGTGTGGTCTAATAATTATGTTGGTGCAACTGAAATGTCAAGCGTCCTTTTTAGAGGCCAGGGAGGATAAGATTGTGTGTATGTAATACAGTCATGCTCAAGCAAATATACACATACACATGAAAACATTTCATGAGAGTAACTTTGCCTTTAAAGCAGTTGACTTCACTTTTTTCCCTTTGAAAAATGATCATGCATAATCCAAAAATTGCTGTTACTAGAAGGTAACTTGTTAAATACATAAAATTGTGTGTGTAGTAATATTTTTAAGCCATGTTTAATTAGTCAACTAACTACAAATTAAATGTCTTCTTTCATCATTCTAGATTCATAAAGTTGCGTTGATGTAGGGCCATTAAGAGCTTAAAGAACTGCATGCAAAAGTTACCTCTGTTAGGAGTTAAATGGACATCACTTCCTTCAAACCTGCCCTTTTCTTGCTTCTCTCAAGTATTGAAATAACTGGAGGTCAATCAGATCTCTTTTGTAGTCTTTGTAGCTGCTGCCTAAAGGTACTGGGTAATTAAAAATAAAGATCTCATTATTGGAGGTACTTCTAGCTTTAATCTTAATATGTCAGAGCAGGGCATTAGCTTGATTGTACAAATGTTGATGTTACGTCCTTAACAGTTAAGGTCAAGTGAGGCCCTCCCTAGTTGCTTTACTTACTGCTGATGTGAAATGGGAGTATTGAATCACTGAGTATTGAGTATTGAATCACTGCTAATCACTATTTTAACCACTCGGTGCTATGTATAAGCACACCTCTGTTTTCACATGAACTGGTTCATTCCATATGTCTGGATTTATTATTGCCACATGTATGTGGGTTTCATAAGAGTGTGTATCAAATTGCAGTGATAGTGAGCTTAGTCTGTAGTAAGTGTGGACTACAGGTACTGAAATTGTTGGTTCATTGCAGCCATTTGTCACTTGCTCGTATCTAAATTAAAACTGAGATTCAACACTGGAAGCTCTGTGATTGTTCTGTCGGTCATTGATAGGGGAGAGAGCATTTGCAGTCATAAATATGTACTGGGAGATGATTATGGCAGCATAAAGGGTAAGGTAAGTCTGAAATAGTTGGTGACCACAAACTGGGAAGCTTAAAGTAGATCTGCAAGTTCAGTGGATCCATGTGCCACTGATATGAAACTGCAGCTCTGGCTCATCAGCATGGTAGGGAAGCCCTGCAAGGCAGAGCAGGATGTTCCTCTGCTGCAGTGAGTTCTGCTGGATCGTGGAGACGGGTCTTGTGACAAGTGGTGCTGGTACTGAGTAGGGAGCCATGGCAGGGAAGGTGAAAGTGGCTGACATTCTGCTTTTTCAGTTGAGTTATCCCGTGAGACAGTGAGTCCTGTGAAAAGAGCCCATCATGGTTAAAATGAAAAGCCTTGTTCTTACCAGCTGTTTGGTGTGAGGCTCCTCCACTTCCTCTATTTAGGTGCCTACAGTACTGGCAGCGACTAAACCACTCCCAATTTTCTGGTTTTGTTGGATTAGTTTGCCATCCAGTTAGCAGACTGAACTCGATCATGATGAAGTCCAGGGAGCTGCAAAGCTGTGGCTGAGATTAGGGAAGAGGAAGAACTGGCAGCTTTTAGCCAAGAACCTAGAAAATAGTGTGAGAGAGGAAAGGAACTTCTATTTGGATGGTCATTAGCATGGATTAGATCATCCTTAGATGGATTTATTGAGGTGAACAGGATTAAATGCTGCAATTTGACCTGTAGTTTGTCTAGTGTGTGGATTTCCTGTGATAGAACTCAAATGTGAAAGAAAGAAAGAAAAGAAGTGGATTACTCAGTGCCAGATACTGTCAGAAGCAAGATTACTCTCTACCACTGACTTTTCATTTCATCCGAGCAGCACTTGTCTAGTGTGTTCTTTCTGTGCCTTTTCCACCTTTTTGGCTACTTTTGCCTTGGTCAAGGCAGGGGTTCCATTCTATTATCAGCATTTACTTGGCAGCAGTTTGCCTGAATCTAACCTGTCATTGCTACAGTTTATGTTTTGACTTACTGTATTCCTTCACCTGTCAGAAGAACTGTGATTGCAGCATAGAAGGACAAAGCTATATGTAAAAAGCTCTGATTGTAGTGTGATTAAGTGTGAAAGAACACGTTTGCCTCTAGGAAATGCAGAACTAAGGAAATACAGTAGTTTTGATATGAAGAAAACAGGAGAGTATGTAGAATATACATACAAAGTTTAAGTGGTTCAGTAGATTACTTGTCTATCTCACATCTCTTAAAAATAGCAAACTTCTCATGTACAGAGCTGCTGTGAGATATCAGGCCTGTGACTTCCATGAAGGAGCTTCTTTCCCCATTTATGTCTAGTCTGTTGGTAATTTTCCTGGTGTGTAACTTGAACTGCATCCCCCCTTCCTTTTGTTTCCTTAAATTCATAGAATGGGTTGGGTTAATGGGAAGGGACCTTTAAGGTCATTCAGTTCAGACCCCTCTGCAATGAGAAGGAACATCTTCAGCTATGTCAGATTGCTCAGAGCCCCATCCATCCTGACCTTGAATGTTTCTGGGGATGGGGCATCCACCACCTCTCTGGGCAACCTGTGCCAGTGTTTTACCACCACCATTGTAAGAGTTTTCTTCCTTATGTCTGGTCTGAATCTACCCTCTTTTAGTTTAAAATCATCACCTCTTGTCCTGTCACAACAAGCCCTGCTAAGAAGTCTGTCCCCATCTTTCTTATAGACTCACTTTAAGTATCGAAAGGTCCTTTAGTTATTGGTCAGGTCTTGCTGGAGGGTTTTTATCTCCAGGCTGAACAACCCCAGCTCTCTCAGCCTTTCTTCATAGGAGAAGTGCTTCAGCCCTCTGATCTTCTTCATGGCCCTCCTCTGGACCTGCTCCAACAGGCTGTGTCCTTATGTTGGGGCCCCAGAGCTGGATGCAGCACTCCAGGTGGGGTCTCACAAGAATAGAGTAAAAGGGCAGAATCACCTCCCTTGACCTGCTTCTTTTCATGCAGCCCAGATTGGTTTTCTGGACCATGAGTGCACTTTGCCAGCTCATGTCCACCGTGTCATCCACCAGTACCTACTCTGCAGTGATTGCTCTCAGTCTCTTTGTCCTCCATCATCCTGTATTGATATTGATTTTAAAGTCCTACTGCTGCTCTGATCTCTTTGCATCTCCCTAACATGTGAGCAACTCTTAAGGTCTTTACTGTAGATTGTGACAGTTGATCATCTTTTGAGTGCTATCAGCAAGCATATTGTCTTCTTCTTTTGGAAAAAATTGGAATTAGCCAAAGCTAATTGCTAGGTAAGTACCTGCAAATGAACACTTTTGCTTTCATCCATGCTGCCTTTCACTGTTGCAAACATCTGGTTTTATTGTAAAGCTTTCACCAAAACCATGTTTTTTTGTATGCTTGTGACAAGTTTGACAGCTATCCATCCATCTTCTAGTGCATGGAGTTTCAGTACCAGGGGGTTTGTTTGGTTCTTTTGTACTCCTGTCTGGCTTTTATATCCTTCATTTCTTACACATATAAGTGTTCATGTTAGAGAACTTGCTGCAATCCATGCATTGGCTCCTGACCCTGTGCTGGAGCTACCTCTGTAGGCCTGTCAAGTGGAGTTGTGGTTCAACCTGGCAACAAAATTACTTTTCAATTAAAAGTGAAAGGAAGGGGTGGAGGGGAAACAGAAGCACGTGGGAAAGCTGAAGAATTCAACAAAAAAAAATTCTGAAAATTGAGCATTCAAAGGGTATAGTAAAATTATTTGTGCATGGAATATAACACATACACCTCATTTAAAAATAAGAAGGAATTTATGCCTTAGTTACAGTTGCTCAAGAAATAGAAGCTTTTGTTTCTCTGCTCATCTGAGAGTGAAAAGACAAAATTCTTTTTTCCCCCAGATCTTTTTTTTTTTTTTTTTTTTAAATTCAGCAGAGGGTGTCAATGCATTTTACATCAAAAGAACTTTAAAACTGACAGCTGTTGTTGCAGCCATCATTTCAGGTTTCATCAACTGACTATAAAAGAGGAATGGTTTTATTGAAATATTGAAAGTGATTGACATGTGCTATGTTGAGTTCAACATATATTTAATTATTCCTGCAAGCAGGGGTACTTGGATTCAGGACTATCTCCCTGTCTTGGTCCATCACTCATCGGTGATGGTCTTACAAAGGTGACTGTGGAGCAGGAGGAGAGAGCAGAACCTGCAAGCCTGGGGTGGAAAATTTAAAGTGAAGCTGGGGACAGTGAGTCCCCTTGGCTTGGTCCTCCCACAGCAAGAAAATAGGGACTGAGGAAAGAGAACAAAGCTGAGACACTTTTGAGTGTGTCTGTAAGGTACATGGGTAGGAAACAAAATGAGCAGAAGAAAGAACATTTGTCATTAACCACACAATTTTTATTCTAATCGTTATAATTACTAATAGCTTTGGGAATCTTGTCGATGTTCTCTAATATGATTGTGAGGAAAACTTTTCTGTTTGTCCTGTCTGGAAGAAATAATAAATCTAGCAAACAAAGGCTGTATTTAAATCCAGAAATGGCTTCTAGCTAAATTTCTTTCTTGGATAATCCTAGTTCTTAACTTCTTCTATTCCCTGTGTGTGAGCATGGATCTCAGATCTAACAGAGCCCCAGAAATCACTGTCAAACCATAGAATGGCTCGGGTTAGAAAGGACCTTAAAGATCTTCCAGTTCCAACCCCTCTGACGTGGGCACTGACACCTTATCACTACACCAGGTTGCTCGGGGGTCCATCCAGCCTGGATTTGAGCACTTCATGGATAGGGCTTGCAGAGTTTCTCTGGACAACCTGTTCCACGC